AAATTTCCGCGCCAACCGGATGCAAACCCACGAGCATTTGCCTTCAAAGTGAGAGCATTACCACTACACGGTGGAAGTGCCCCGAACTCCGATCAGCGCGCTTACGAGCCAAAACTGACTTTTCGCAAATTTTGACTCCCAGATCTCGTCTGGGAGGTCCCGTAGCACTTTTAATCTGCATATTCGTAATCAGCATTCGAGGCTCTATCGATGTACCTAGGTCTCCATTCAAAGTTCCATGGGAAGTTCAAACCATTCCCTCGTCAGGCATGTTTAGAGAAAGGTAACGTAATTTATGGTGTAGTTTCATTTACACTACATTGATTTATCGTGTATTTCTTCAAGATCATCTCAGTATAGAAGGTGCGCTCCACGGCAAAGCGCAGAATATCTCCGTTTTCATGAACACTGTCACTACTCTGTCCATTATGTGCACGTGCACATACGAACTCCTACCTGCGAATCACCTATGATCTTCAAGTTGCAGGTTTCGCGACATAGTTCGTTTTTGTTGTTCACGGGGTCGGCTCTTTCGCCGTGTTCTCGGTTCCGTGGGTGCGCTACGACCTACTTCCGGAAAGAACCAATTCTGACGCTGGGCATGCTCGCTGGGGCATGCTCACGAGGTGCTGCTCATGGACAGGATCGTAGTGCGGTATATACGGCAAGAGGTAATTTGTTATTGGAGGGCACTCATCTCGTCTGTTCTTTCGGGGTTGTCCAGTTGAAAACAACGATTTTAACGCCCTTCTCGTAAAAATTGCCGTCTTAGTTCTCCAAATGAGTGGACTTACGTGCCTGACACTGGATTTCGTACATCACTCCCACTTGCAAATGCCAATTTCCCGTTCGGGGAAGCAACGCAGTCTCGTCACTGCTTATCGTATAGTCTGTTGCTAACCAGTTGCAGGTTCGTTCTTTTTTTTTCGTTTCTCATTCACCACATCTTTCTGCAACTGTGCTTTTACTATACTCCGTTGGATTGGGCACTCACCCTGTCAGAAATAAAGAGAATACATGAAGGCAGCTTATTTTGGCCGTACACGCTGTAGACGGCCACTAGAAGTGCAGGGCAATTACGTTACGCAGCACGACCTCCTCAGAAAAGGCAGCATGTGTGTCCGCGAGAGGTACCTCAAAATAACATAAGCTATCTTTATGCGTACGCTTTAACACGTTGACGACGAGCCATTTTTCCATGATTTGCGCCTGGGATGGCACATTTTTCTACACTGAAACTTAGTAATTTCCAAATAAATGAATTAGCAAGAGACGAGTATAGTAATAGGTGCGAGCTTACCGCTCGCGAATCCCCGATTGTTGCCTTCAATACAGTCTACTAGCTATCATGTTTATTAGAATATTGAAGGCGATCAAGGTGGAATAGGGATTCGGCGTAGTTGATGTAGTTGACGACGGACCCATTGGTCGGCAGCGTGACAGGGAGTCGCGAGCCCAGAGGCGAAGCGAGGGCAGGCAGAGCGGTCGTCGGTTGGCATCCAGCAGATCTCTCTCGTCGACGTCCAGCGCGAACCTTAAGTATTGTCGGTGAGATGAGTCATGCATATCGTACTCTGACCTTCTCCTCTCTCTCTCTCTCTCACGCTAGCTTCACGCAAACCGTCGGCAACCAGAAGGAGACCCGAAGTGAGAAAGGTGCCGTATAAAGGTAGGAGGGTTCTCCCTATGGTGAGCGACTCGTTCGCTTACACTCTCTTACATCTCTTAAAGCTCCCCTCATTCCAAAAAAGTCCGTCCTCGGACTTGCAACAAAGAAGAAGGGAGGGTGCTCACCTGCATAGCGTGTAGTGAAGCAAAAAAAGGAACCGTAGTTACTCGAGGAGATCGGGAAGTGTGGAGGCGGTGGTGACGGCGCCACGATATCGGGCCCAGTGCAAAAGGATTTGTCAATGGGAAAGGCCGGACAGCGACTGCTTATGGCCTAAGACGATTAACCCGTGCCGACAGCGAGTGAGAGCTACGTTAAGTCGGTGAGGGTCATTCAAGAAATCGCCGCGTGAGCCTTCTACGCCGGTGCGGGTGGAAAGAAGCACCACTATGTCTTTCTCTCTGCCTTGTACCGAGTCTACGGTGTGGAGGTCTACGAGGGAGTTCTGGGCAAAGGGGCAAGCAGACGTGCCTGTTCCTTATAGAAGACGATGATGGCAATGGACGGAGGCGGCACTTGCTTGCGCAAAAGGGCGAGGACGATCTGGCGACATGTTTCGGCTTCCAACTCGTTGCTGTGAGATCCGCTGAGCGACTTGACGGACGTGCCAGGCACGTCAACGAAAAGGAACGGCAAGGACGGGTTGGGGCAGCGGACGAGGGAGAGAAACATCTGACGATCCTCGGCGGGAGTTCCGCTGACGAGAGTCTGGCCGTAGAAGGCTAAGTTCGGGAACTCGTTGAGGAGAGGGTGTGCGCGGAAGGTGGTGGTTAACGGCGCCACTGGAACCCTCTTGGCCAGCAAGATATCCATTGGGCACCGAATCGGGCCGGATTAGATGTTCGCGGACAACGGGCGTGAGGCTGCAACTGGTGAATGTCGCCTACGTAGATATGCCGTGCATACGAAAAGTGCGTGGTAAGGGCGACTAGAGCTGGCTCGGGTATCTGTGATGCTTCATCACCAATGATGGTGGCTACGTAGCCCATGAGACCAGCGAAGATACCTCCTGGGGCGACAGAATTGAGCAAGGAGGAGGTGGTGATGCAGATGATCGCCGGTGGGTGAACCTTGAACAGGGTGGAAACGGCCCATTTGGTGAGGTCGGAAATGTCACGTTCGGCGAGCCGGTATTCGTCTTTGTCTGCATCTGACAGATCGACAGCCATGTCGTTCTCTGAAAGGAAGTTCGGGGTTCGTTCTCGGCGATACTTCAGACAGGTTTCGCGGCAATCTTCACTCATCAGGTGACCGTAGTCGTCAGGGGGCTCCTTCAATCAGCGCCGAATCCGAGACAAAACGGATGATGCTGAGGTACTTGTAGTCGTCGAGCCGGAGTAAGGTATCGGTGAACTGGGCCACCGCCGTGTTCGTCGTAGTCGTTGCAATTACGCGACCCTCGCAAGAGATGGAACGGCGAGCCGCAAGCAGGGCTCCGACAACAGTCTTACCTGTGCCATAAGCGGCTTGAATGGCAAGGACAGGCAGGTTGAGATCGCCCATCCGGAGAGCATGCGCCTGATCAGGGCGGAGCGTCAGCGATCTGCCACCGAGCGAGATCACGATAGTTGTCTAGTGGAGGACCAACAGGCCCGACGGGAGTTTGGCGACCGCCATATATGGCGTCTAAGACTTCGCTAGCCGGAGCGTCATCGCTGTAACGTGCGAAGAGCTGTCTGGCGACGATAAGCTCGTAAAGAGGCTCTGCGCCCGCTGGGGGTGGGCCAAGGCCAACGCAAATGTCGACAGAAGTAACGCCATCGTGTGTTCGGCCGAAGCGGCGGATGGACCGCATCGTGGTGGCGTGCGCCCAGCACGGGACGATCAACCGAATGTCCATGGTGCGGTGGATGGTATACGTCAGCATGTGGGTTCGTTTATCATCTTAAGCAGGTGGACCGCTGCTAATGCTGAGCACGCTGCGTTGAATAAATGGGTCATGCGCCTCTGAGCAGCGCGTGGGTTCCGCCGGTAATCGAGGAACTCGCCTGCACGATCGGTGCTCCAGTCCCGCTCACGCTGAGTGAGCTTGAAAACTCTCAGCGGGAGTATGCCTTCATCGGGGTGGGCAGGCAGGAAATTCCGGACGAACGAGCACAAGAGCTTCCTCGCTGTCTTGGATACTGGAAATTCCGAGAATCGAATTGCGCACGACACGTTGCGACGGACGTGTGCGGCGACGATCTCATCCTGCTCTACGCTCGAGAGAGGGAAGTCGCATACATTGGGTGATACGGAGACGGCTTCCGGCGCTCCTTCGAAAGCAACTTTCAAGCTTCTGTACGGCGTCATAGCGGACGACGAGGGACATCACGATGCCGAAAGAACGTTGGGTAGTGGCCGGAGGTGTGATGAAGACGAACTCGCGGACTCGGAAGAAATACGGGAAGCGGTTGTCCAATGCCGTGGCTTTGGGGATCCGAGCTTGCTGCAGAGTGCGGGGTGGGTTGCAGAGAGCGGCGTTCGTCGCCTCGACTGAATAGACCCACACGAAATCTTCTCTCAATCTGGAGGACCTCCAACATCGCAACTCCGACAACGTCGCTACGGTCTAGGACATCATCTTCACCTCAGTCGCCAAGGCGCCAGTTGATGGTGGGGACCGGACGTACCTGGAATGGAGAGACCGATATTTTCTTCGTGGACCCCGGACTGAAGGTGAGCGCTGGCGGTTACATCGAGCAACTCGAGAAGAATATCCTCTCCACATGTCGTCGCCCGTACCTTCTTGGAAACTGTACTGCTAGGATTGGGTGACACCACATGGAATCAAAGGGCGTTGGGAAAACTCTTGCCTACTTGGAATGGGCGTTGAGTACCTGAAGAAGATGGAATATCTAAGCAGGTCACCTGACCTGAAACCCCCTCAATTACCTGGTTCGGGCGGAGTTCAATAGGGTGGTCTACAGTGGCGGAGAAACGATCTCGCTGAACTCAGGCACCCACTCACGGTCGCGTGGCAGAATCTCTCGATGGCGCTCCTCCAGAAGGCTGTGGCGGAGTATCGTGATAGTATTTAATATGCTCTTTAATATGGTGGTAGAAATGTCCGATAAGAATTTAATAAAGTGTAACTTATAGCGCCTCGAAAGTCAAGGAAGAAAAGTCTTTTTTTGGCCTCCCCCCTTGTATAAGGATCACATCGCACTGAACGCGTCCACTGATAATTTTTGGGAGAGTCTTTATGACAAGTACTACTACAACAATAATTTTCTTACACTGTCCTATACAATGTTCCTTAATGAGATCACAAAATTATTGGTTACGGTAGAGAATCAATTCGAATACAACTGCTAACCAGATCTAAATTTGATGAGCTATGCGGCCAGGTCTAATAATAACTGTACAAGTTCCTAGAGAAAGTAAAACAAGAAAGTTTGAGGAGGGCGTGGGTGTCCTTGGAAGTGGATCGGATGAGTTCTTGTTGACAAAGTTTTTCCAGCGATTGAACTCGGAAACGCAGGTTATCCGTCTTCATCTTCATTCCGGATATCGTTTGAATGAAGGTGTGCACTGCTCCACTTGGGTGTATGCATACGAAATCCTTCCTGAAAGTGACTTCACCAGTTGCTAAGATTGGCTAGAAGGGAACACAATTATCAGTTCTCACATGAACACGTTTGTACTTTCAACTATACTCTATATTCTGGAGATAGGGAGAACGTAGTTGTCTACTTAAAGCCAAAGCCCGCGCTCATCTTAGATAGTGAATTTAGGCTTCGCATAAAAAGGACAAGGTTTAGAGTAAAACAATAGTGAAGGAAAAAGCAGAAAAAACATGCCCAATGTCCTAAATAGGACCCCATTACAATCCTAGTTTGTACGTGCATACGATGGGGAAACAGCGCTTATGGACGAGCGTTCCACGTTATTGGCTCGCTGCCAGAAATAGGTGTGGCGCCACGTTTGAAAGACTGACCTTTAATATTCTTATTTTTTCAGTGAATTCATCGTATCATTATGTTTCTTTGTTCTTTTTGAGTTTGTGTTTTGCTTTTCAAATTCAAAATGTTGCTATTTTCTTCCAACATTTCGTGCACTTTTGCAATACAATACTTTTTGCAATACATTTCCAGTTTTACCACTCCGCGCGCTCAGCTGACTCAATACAACCCTACGTCCGTACAAATAACGAAGCCGCTTAGATTTTCATGCTTTTCTCGTCCCACAACTTGGTTTTTCACTGAAGGGCGGCGCTTGGGAGGCGGAGTCACTGGAAAAAAGGAGGAACCACTGGACCTATTTTGCCTTATAGCGCCCCTCCCCTGCACTTTTTTGCCGCGAAAACGGTACAGGGTTGTTCGTCGCGGACCGCACTATCCTCCCGATGCCATATTTTCATCTTCGATACTTGATCGCGGACCGTTCCTTTAAGTTGAACCTGATCTAGGATGCCTTGAAATTTCGCCACGACGGTAATCGACGCACTACAATTCCAGCGCTCTAATGCCAAGACGGTAAATTTGCGTTCATACCTTGCGGTAGCGTCCATCAGGGACCAGGTGTAGAGTATGGGGAAGTAGAGAGCGGCAGGCAGCTGGATTGGGCGTCGTGAAATTGCGGCTTGTGCTACCGCATCGTACAACTACACTACATCGTGCATTAAATTGCATAATTCTGTGCTTTGGTATTTGTGCGGTATACGCTGCAGTTTCACGACGCCTAATCCAGCTATCTGCCACCCTCCCACTCCCCCATAATATCTACTCCAGGAATCTGGCGGATGCTGGCAGATGCTGACGTTCGCTAGATCGATATCTATACTTTTCTCTTCTCTGCCGCTGGCGAACGCTCGAATCGCTGGTGGACACTGCCGCAAAGTATGAACGCAGCCCAATGACGGGCACGCAGCCACAGACGTGTATCGTTAGTGGCGCCGGTCACTACTGTTCTGAGGGAATGTAGACGGAATACGAGATGGTGCTAACTGCTTGAGCGAGGTCATGTGGCAGTATCTTTGCGTCACTTCCCTGCGCGATGCTTGGAGTCGCCGTAAGCTACTGTGTCAGCACCTTGGAGAGTAGGAAGTCTCTCTACGACATCTGGTTGATGCGCCCTGAGCCTCGGGCTGGAGAAGGGGTGCTGCCTCGTGGGCGCGCCCAACTACGTCAGCAAGATGGAGAGTACCAGATTAGGTGAATAGGCGCTATAAATCAGCAACATTGCCATTTTGCAGCGCATTTCTACTTTATGACGCTCGACCGCATTGTCTGCTACCTACTGTTCTTCTATGCTCTCCCAAGAAACTGGCGGCCAGCTTTGATCGATACCCTTCTGCCTCGGCCTCGTCTTCACTGGAGCGCTTTTGCTGCGATTCTCGAGTAACAGCTAAAGAGGGCGCCATTGCTGGAACCATTAATGGAAACGTGGACAACGGAATGAGTGATGGAAGTGTCAACAATGGACAGAGTGCCACTCCGAAATTTCTGAAAAGTGCCTACTTGAGTAAAGATGTGTGAATCACGTGCATATTTGTAGTTCGTAGATCGAGTAAAAATACAGTGGTTCTTCCTTTACGCCTTCGTGAATAGTTCCGTTTCGGCTAGAAAGACAGCATTCACTGATTTCGTTCCTATGCACTAGATCAGTGCGCATACCTCTTCCCAGAGTAGAACAAACCGTCCTGTGTTGAAGAGATTGGGAATAGAGCTGAACCATGGAATCCACTCGGGATGTTGTGGCAACGTAAATGTTCTCATGCGGGCATACTCTTAAAACGCAGGGAGGGTAAGACATGTCACATGAACACTAGTACTTGTGATAATGATCGGTTGACGATGAGACTACTCGTATTCTCAATCTGGGGAAATGGCTCAGACTGAATGATATTTTTGGTCCTATCAGGTGTACCTCGCACCGTTTGAGCAATCTACCTGTATGGGCGGGTGCGTTGGTGACAATGCACATACACTTCAGACGTTTTTTTTTCTCCCCATTTGGATAGTAGGATAAAAAGGATAGAGTCTACGCCCTTGATCAAGGGCTTTTTGAGATTTTTTCCTTTTTGGGATTTTTTCCTTTTTGGGGCGGCACACATTCTGCTTCCATTCAGAGACGTAGCGCGATGTGGCTTATAGAATGATTTGCGGCTGATGTACAGATCAGTGTTCTCATCTTCCAGCCGAGCCCGGTAAAAATTTACCGTCCACGGAGGGTAGAAGGCTTGGCTAGTCTGTGGGGAGGCCGAAGGGTATTCGACCCCCGCGAGGTAAGCATGCCATTACACCATCTCCGCCTCAACTTACCTTTTGTATATCACTACCACACTCCTTGCAGAACACGATGTGAATGGGTTTGCAGCTGCAGTAGCGTGCCACATCGTCCTCTCAAAATTGAGCGGGAACGGGGCTGGAGGGCAGTGATGCTCGAGTGCGTCTCCTTACTCCGCCCACGCTGCCGCGCGCACCTCTAACGGCAGCCAAATGCGCTGCCTGTTTGCGCCCTCCGAATTCTACATACTTCTTTACCTACAATCACGCGTTCGTTGCACGATTTTGGTATCAGCGCAAGCGCTGCACCATAAAAATAGCGCGGGTGCGATCGGAACACCGTTCGGAATTCCACCTTCCATCCTCATTTCCGCGGGTTCAGGTGACGAGTGTCACATTTGTAACGCACTTCTCGCACATGGCGAGAACCGTTCTCGGAGGTGAGGATACATCTCGTCTTCAACTTTCTCCCTGCACTAGTCTCACCGTCTACCAGATCACGACCGTTCTCATCGAAATAAGCACAGCTGGGATCTCACTTGGAGTGATGTACCGCTCGTTGTCCTGCAATGCACTGCCTATGTCAATTTGTAGTGTATAATTGATATAGTGGACCATAGACAACGGATTGTCTCTATAGAGAAGGAATGTCATAGTGGAGCCGAAGACAAACGGATGACCGCCGGTATAAAGCCGTACATCTGAACACAAGTGGTTGAGAAAATACACAGTGATATGTACTCTCAAGTATTAGCAGTATATCGAAAATCTGGACATGGAACGGTCGACGGGACAGCCTATATAGGATGCATGTGGCTGCGTTCGTACTTTGCGGCAGCGTTCACCAGCGACCAATAGCGTCCACCAGCGTTCCGAGCGTCCGGCAGCGTCAGCGACTAGGAAAGTATAGATATCGATCTAGCGTCTGCCATCGTCCACCAGCGGCCAGCAGCAGACTGCTGGTAGACAGTATGGTGCGATGGGAGGGTACCAGCTGTTTCTTACCCTCCTATAGCTGTCTGCTACCCTCTTATCGCGCCATACTCTCCACTCCCAGGCGCTGCTAGACGCTGGTGGACGCTGGCCAACGATACCAAAGTACCCGCCGTAAGTGTTCAAAAAATTACGAAAAAAACGCCGATCCGCGTTTTTTTCGTTTTTTCGTTATAGAGCTGTTCTTTTTGATTTTTTGTATGGATACCCATATATTATTAGAATCAGCTCGCCGAGCTCTATCCGAGGGTATGCTCATATTCTACGAAATTGGTTTTTTGCTGGCGCCATTTTGGCGCCACTTGGCGCCACCTTGGCGCCACTACTTTTTCCAACAAAGTCTGTATAAACTCGATTACTGGGGCTACTCAAAGCCCTGTTTACGAAAATGACATTCATTTCTCGCCGTGGCGCCATTTGGCGCCATTAGGTGCCGATTTGGCGCCACTAGCGCCACTTTGGCGACACGACCTTTCCCAAAAAAATCTGTATAAACTTGCATAATGGGGTTTCTCGGTGCCCTGATCACGAATGTAACATTCATTCCTAGCCATGGCGCCGTTCGGTGCCATTTGGTGCCAATTTGGCGCCACTACTTTTTTCACCAAAATCTTTATAAACTCGCAGCCTGGTTTGTGGAATGGTCACGTGATCGTCATTTGCAGAGCATACATAAATCACGTGAGCTTGCGGCGCTGGCGGCTCTGCGCTCACCATAGCCGCTTGTTCACGTGATTGCTACATGTCTTTATAGCTCACATTCACGTGCTCATTATAATACATGCAGTCTGAGCCGACCAAGGCGTCGCCAAAGTGGCGCTAGTGGCGCCAAATCGGCACCTAATGGCGCCAAATGGCGCACGCAGACTTTGTTGGAAAAAGTTGTGGCGCCAAGGTGGCGCCAAGTGGCGCCAAAATGGCGCCAGCAAAAACCAATTTCGTAGGAATATGAGCATACCCTCGGATAATATATGGGTATCCATACAAAAAATCAAAAAGAACAGCTCTATAACGAAAAAACGAAAAAAACGCGGATCGGCGTTTTTTTCGTAAATTTTTGAACACTTACGGCGGGTACTGTACTTCCTTGGCCCTCAAGGTGCTGTTAGCGCTAGTAGACGCCGACAGACGCTAGATCGATATCTATACTTTCCTAATCGCTGCTCTGCCGGCCACTCGGAACGCTGGTGGACGCTATTGTTCGCTAGTGGACGCTGCCGCAAAGTATGTACGCAGCCTACAGACGCTGCACAAATTGAAGAGGCAGTGGGTGCAAAATTTGGCTGGGTGTTGAGGGTGAACGGAAACCAGACTTTGGATACACTACGCAGATGATGGGAGCGTTTTGTACAAGGCAAGTCAGCGCTAGGCCCAAACGTCTCGACTTTGCCACGAACTTTTGCTCCGACTATGACAGCCAACGCCACCTCACTATTTGCTGTCTTTTCCCTGCAGCACAGAAGAGTTGAGAGCGTTTCCCTGGCGTTGTCTCGTGATCGGTGATGATGGTTATCAAGTGTATTGCCAAAAATGAACGAGCAGAATGGGGTCCTCATTTTGTCAACCTCCGCAACACTTAGGACCTCTACTCTCATTACTGACCCAGTGGGTGAGAGGGCGCCTTTGTGGAGCGAGTTTAGACTTACCTCCCGTAAGACAAAGAATTATTCGATGTGTATCAATGAAAAATTCTTTCAGAGGTTCAACTGCCTGGTCATAAAGATAGTAAGGAACAAGGCGGCACACCATCCCTTCTTGCGAGCTTCTATAACCGCATAACAGGAGGTAATCTGGAAAAGTGACTCATTGAGCAGACTGACGCTAGGAATTCATGTGAACTTACCTCCTTTGGGAAGGATGAACTTCTGTGCAATGAAGTCCCTGCTATAGCACATGTAGTCGACGTCAAATGTGACATTCCTGGAAAATTTTACGAGTGGAGGATTTTTCCCTTCTAACGAGATAGCCAAAGCTTTGAACAGGGTGGTAACCCTGCCAATCAATGATGTGATCGTATACTTCAAATCCATGACCGCAAGACGCGGTAAACGTGGCCACGTACTTCATTTTAATGTGGTGGTGGCTGCGCTATTAGTGGGTATACTTTCATTTGGATGTAGCATTCATGTTTCGAATCACCACAATACAAGGTAGAATTTCCCCTTAATCAAAATATCCCGTTGCAGCTCGACCATCGTAAGTAATTTGGGTCTTGGTGCCAATGTTGGGCTGCGTTTATACTTGCTACAGCGTTCCACTAGCGTCCGGGAGCAGAGAATATGGCACGTTAGAAGGGTAGCAGACAGCTGGTACCCCCGTATCGAGCCATACTCGCTACAACAGTTAGCCACCCTCATATGTGCCCATACTTTACCAGCTGTCTGCTACCCTTCTATCGCGACATACTCTCCTCTCCCGGGCGCTGGTAGACGCTGGAGGACGCTGGCAGACAAAGGTAGACGCCAGATCGATATCTATAATATCCTAGTCGCTGACGCTGCGGAGCACTCGGAACGCTGGTCGACGATATTGGTCGCTGGTGAACTGCCGCACTGTACGAGGGCAGCCCTTGCGTACATCCTTCCGCTTGCAATGCCTCTTTCTTCTTGGTTCGTGGTCGTGGCTACTCGGAACTAAC